GGGGGGTAGAAAAGAAGAAACCTGATCTTCAAATGATTGGAGAAACAAGCAATATGAACCTTTTCTTCCTTTGAGCTCTTATGCTGTCAGTGATGGAGATCAGTTAACAATACCACTGAAGATCAGCTCAGGATTGAATGTGTGTCGTGTATTGAAAAGGAATATGTCCTCTCTCCCTTACCTGGATACTACAGGAGCATTGTGTCACCACCATGGGATGGAAACAGCAATTAGTTGACAGGAATTAGTTAAATGAATCGTAAGGGCTGGTTCTAAAAATGGTAGTCCCTAATGAGACTTAGAGACCTAGCAAGCCTTTGATTAAAGACACAACCTGTATGTCACTTAAGTATTTCTATGGTCATTGGATCGCCCTCTAATGTTTCACACCAAGGTCCAGTGGTAGCATGTAGACTCTTCTAACGCTGAGAGGCATGGATGGGGTGAGGAGGGGTGAGGAGTGTAGCCATGAGAAGTGTGTGGAGGGGTGGGGGTACTTGAGGTGTCAGCGGCATGAAACAGCTTGTTTTCCTCCATAATCTGCACTTGTCTCAGGAGTCAAGTTTTTTGCTCTGTGTTGTTGAAGGTGGTCGGGTGTTTTGCTGTTCTGTAATGCCAAGAAAGGACCCTTCTGTCAAGTCATAAAAGGTGTTGGAAACCACTCAAAGCACCGAGCTTCTTTAAGACTTGGGGGTGATCAAGGGTGGAGGTGCATGCACTCTTCTTTCTCTGAATTGTCCTCTGCTGCAGCTTTTAATGTCCCCACCTCACCGGACCACAGATGTCTCCCTCCAGAGGCAGGATCTTATTGCAGGCAGTGGAGATCGAGCTTTCCAGCAGCCCCTGTTTTTCATTATCCTGATGCAGCCACAAAGCACTGGGCATGTGACCTCAGGCGAGGCACTCAGCCTTTCTTTACCTTAGTTTCCTGATCTGTTAGTAGGGATAATGAATTCATTCAATGTGAGCATGAAATGAGTTACTATATAGAGAACATCAAGAATAGTGCCTGACATAGAGGAATCACTCAAGTAATCCAAACTATAGTGATTTTCAGCTTGCTTTCTTCTTCGAGGGAGATATAGATGCAGCAGTAACCCTGACAGTGACTTAAGAAAATTAGGCAATTCACCTTATTTTAAGAATGCAACCTTTCCAGATGGGTGGGTCAACATGCGGTACAGTGATCCACTAGATAATTCCACACTGAACAAATCTAAATTATAACTCATGCCGGTAATTAATTTTTTGTATTACTGAGCCCTATAGAAACTAGAGGAGAAATCAGGTTCTTAAGTATTCTAGAGCAGAGTATAAACACAGCTGTTACAGTGTGGGGGAAGAACCGCTTACAGAAACCTCGGTGTAAAGAGCGGTACCCTCCACACCTACCACAGAAGGAAGAAAACGTTCTACAGTCACCCCTCCCCAAGTCGTTGCCCATATTTTCTGTTTGTAGCACCTCGTCTTTTAAAGAATGCAAACCTAGTTCTGTAGGACAGTGAAGAGCCTTTATTATTTGGTAAATTGGGTTTTTGCATTCGTCTTACTCGAAGTCCAGATGATGGTGGTTATCGGGGATGAAAGATTGTGGAGACGGCAGATTGAGTCCTGTGTTTTTCAGGTTATGAAGTTCAGGAAAATGTGTAATTATGTCTGAGTTTCCTTAGGTTCCTCTGTTCAACATAATGTTCTGACATACAGCAGGGACAGTTCCAGATACAAAATGCAAATCAGTAGGTGCTGGCCCTGCTGCTGATTGCTGGGGTTAATCATGCAAATCTAATGCAGTTCTTGGTATTTCAAGAAAGGTTTGAGTTGAAGTCTCAGGCACATACTGATTTAAAATTCCTACTTCAGAGAGCAGTGTAATTTTTCTCGGCTTCAAATTTTAAAATACAGAACAAGATCTGGAGGCGGATTTAGTGACTGGACATCCATCCATACTTGTTAATCATGAAAGGGCGTGGGAGGGAAGGGTGTCCTTAAAGGATGCGGGAGTTCTAAGCATATTAAATACTTCATTAGATCTAAATTTGCAAATGTTCTATAGCAAGTCCCTTTGCTTGGAATAAGATCAAATCAACCGATTATACATGATTACTGAATGCTCTGTTCAAAGAAGATGGCTAAAACTGGCAAGGACAGACCAAATAAAAATTAACACCACCACAAGTTTCTAACTTTGGGAATGATAGAAAATACCTTTGGAAATGAGACTGTTTACAGGAAGAAATGAAATTGTCTTGCTCACGAGTGCAAGCTGACACATTCTAATAGCCTTTCTGCTGTGCACAATAAGCATCAGCTTATCTTTCCAAGAACAATAAGATTTCATGTACTGCTGCCTGACATAAGAATTATTTTTACATATCTCCATATCGCTGACTCTCTTGTAAGTTAATCTCATCTCACATGAATTTTTCACCAGCTTCACTCTGATGTTGATAAAGGAGATGGTTCCATCAAATACATCTTGTCAGGCGAAGGGGCAAGTTCCATTTTCATTATTGATGAGAACACTGGGGATATTCATGCTACCAAGAGGCTGGATCGGGAGGAGCAGGCCTACTACACGCTCCGAGCCCAGGCCCTGGACAGGCTCACCAACAAGCCTGTGGAGCCTGAGTCCGAGTTTGTCATCAAGATTCAGGATATCAATGACAACGAACCCAAATTCTTGGATGGCCCATACACGGCGGGAGTCCCCGAAATGTCTCCTGTGGGTAAGTAAAGAACATGCTGCTTTGGTAGGGTTTGATTTCAGGAGGTCTGTATTTAAAAGGAGATCATCATAAGTAGTGAAAAAAAAATCACATTAGTTTTGGTAAGGCAATTTCTAGTGAGGATGAGGGGGAAGTTTGAGATGCCTTAAGATCCAGTGTCCAAATCTAATTATTCAAATAGTTATTTTATTTCTATGGAAAATTAGGAAAATTTTCCTTTTCCACAGGGATCTCAATGTCTTTAGTACATTACTCATGTCTTTTAATTTAAAAAAAAAAAAAAAAGATTAAAACTATCCCTAAGAAGTTAAAAAAGAAAATCCTTGCAGACATTGGCCTGTGGTAATCTTTTCTTTCTCCTGATTAGTATTAATGATTCACTCTTCTAAGAATCTTTCTGGGGCCAAGGTATCAGGCAGCCCATCTAATGTTTGGATCAGTGGGTCTGTTTGCTTGTAGAGTAGGCTTGAACCCACAAATGTCCCTCCATATGCCACCACTAATCTTTTTGTAATATCTCCAGAAACTTAGATGCATGAAAATTTATATTGGATTGATAATAATGGCAAAGTGATACTCAGCTTGAGGTATATAAAAGAATCATGAAGACTGTTTTATTCAGAGGGCTTTTCACATTGCCCCATTACTGGAAAAATAGAAAGTAAAGTACTTCCAGTATATACTTTATTTCTATCAAATGATAAAAACTCAGTTTTAAACAATTGATTCACATACCTTTGGAAGAATTTTCAGCCAGCATGCAATTTTAGATGATCTCACAAAACAATAAAAGCAATATGGGGCTTAAATAGACCAGTTGATTTATATATTTATTTCCTGTCACTTTTAGTCCTGAAGTAAGACAGTTATTTAAAGTAATAATTGAATTTGTATTTTAACAGGCAAATATTTTACCCAACATGATTTGTTTTATATTAAATAAAGGTCACTTCATTCATTCCAGCATTCAGCCCACAGGTCGACTATGTTAGGAAGTGGAATTGCAAAGATGTGTATTATGTGTGCCCTTTTGGGGAACCACAGTTTGGTGACCCTAAATTTCTAGCAGACGGGAGAGTGAAAATTATTTAGGACACCCTTGCTCTAGCCGCTGAAGAAATAGAAGCAGAAAATGAACCAGAAGATTCGATGCTTGTGGTCCAGATAAATTCAGAACCACAGAGGCAGCATCACACTGTAGTTAGCTTCTAAGTGAGCATTTCTTTGACCAAACAGGCTTATTCACACTTTCTCAATACTGCCCACATCTTCAGTGCTGCTTGCTGTTGCTTAACAACAAGAACAACAACTAGGGAGACAGCAGCTGCAAGATTTGCAGGTTTTAGAGAAAAGAGAAGGTTCTCCCCAAAGTAGTAATGTTTAGAAAAACAGGAAGCTTTGAGGTGTGTTTGAGCAATTCAGCTCAACTCCATCATTTTCATGTGGGCATGTTGGGCATTCTGCATTGGCTTGCTATGGTTTTCTTTTGCTACACACAATGTAACCATGCAAATTGGATTAATGTGAACTTTGTTCTTTTAGAGGCTAAATAATGCACACTGTAGTTTTGGTTTCGATTGTACTGCTCTGATATCAAACAGCATGATTATTATGCACACATGCAAGTTATATTAGTTATTTGATTGATTCCAACAGGTTCAGAACTTTTTAGAAAATGATTTTCAAGTGCCTTCAGGATTTAATTCGCATTAATTGAGAATTAATTCTGGAATAATATCGAAATTTGAACTAAGATCAATGGATGACTACATTAAATATGTTATGTGGATCTATAGTGAGTTGGAGTTTATCAAAGGGTTTAATTCTACCCAAATAGTTATAATGGCCACTAAGTAGTACAGCATATACAACAAAAGCATTCAGTGTTTAATATTCAGGGCTGTGTTTTCCATTGGATGCTAACCTCAAGATTGAAATCACACTAATAAACCCTTAGGATAGTTCATTCATTTCCAGAAGAGCATAGATAAGCAGGGACAATTTAAAGTTTTTTAAAAATATATGTGTTGTGTGTGTGTGTATGTATATGTATATATAAAGTAAATTTCTTAGTGGACACTTTAAAAAAATTATATACAACCAAATTTTCTAAAGTAGTTTTGATTATTTTAAGGCACTTTCCTTTTCAAATGAAGTAGGAAATCAATACTTAAGCATGTTACCAGAGTAAATATTTCTGTAAAGATGGTGCATTGTGGAGAAAATAGAGAATATCAATGCCATTAATTTTAATATTTTAAAATAATCAAAATTTAATTTTTAAAAATATTTTTAATATGCATTATTTGTTGTTTGGTCCTACCAGGCATCTGCAGGGCACAATCAACTAACTCTGTCAAATTAAAAAAAAAAATCAGAATTTAAAAAACAGTGCTCTATACATAGCTTCATAACATGCACTCACTTTTAAAGAAAATGGGATTGGTAAGGAAAATCATTGTGTTGAAAAGACAATAGATTTGTAACAAGATGGACATTAATGACTTATTTAAAGGGCTTAGGGAAATCTATTTAGAAATATATTGATGAGATATTTGATTAAAAATATTTTCAATAAATTATTAGAAGCAAATTAAAACCTTAGAAGAATACAAAAAGAGAGACTTGTTCCATTCCCATCAATAGGACATAAATGATAAAATAGTATGTGCTTAAATATGTAAACTAAGTAAATGTGGCTAACATTTTTAAGATTCTGCTTCAAATGGAAATAAAAAGAACACATCACAGTAAATGCTTTCCATGTGGAATAAGTGAATACATAATAAATGCAGAAGCCATAGGACATCCTATCACATGAAATATAGAAAAACAACTAATAATGCAATTTTTAAAGTTGCCATACTTGTTTCTCCTTTGAGGGGGGTGGTGTAAATTTTCATTGAATGCTTTTATTTTTAAATCAATTCATAGACTCAAATGAAAACTAAAACTATTCCTGAAAACATGCCCCTAATATTCAGTTAAGTGGATCCATCAGATATTCTTTACTCAGTTAATGACATTTCATTTTCTGTCTGGCTCTGCTCAGCTATAATAGTGAGATCCCCTCAGTGACTTGGGTGTCAAGATGCTGTTACTTGTCACACTGCCTTCTGGACAGTAATTGAGACTTATAGAGATTGCTCTTGATAAATACTTGTTACCTGACCCTGATGGATGAGATGCCTAAAATTTGAGTCCCTTCCAATTCTGAGTATCCTCCTAATGTGCATCATCAATCTTATTATTATATTTTTTTTCTAACATATTTTTGTATCCCTTAAATCTTTCTGAGGGCTTAATTAGCATTTATCTTCATTTTGGGTTTGTCTTTTACGAAAAATGCGTCATTTTTTCACATGCCTTGAAACCTGAAAAAAGAGAATTAAAAACAAATGTAGCATGTTCAGCATTTTGTGAATCACTCTGTTTTGTGGCATTTGGAAGTTTTAAATGCATTGGTTTTTGGATTGGCACGTAGGGACCTCAGTGGTACAAGTAACAGCAACGGATGCTGATGATCCTACGTATGGTAACAGCGCCCGAGTGGTCTACAGTATTCTGCAAGGACAGCCATACTTCTCAGTGGAACCAAAGACAGGTAAACGTTGAAATGTGACTTTTCTTGTAATGTCATCATTTATATCTTGGCACAAAGTTAATATTGTTATTTTTATTTGATATAGTTGGCACTGGAAACAGACACTACATTGCTATTGTGCTTCTCTCAATATGTGGACTGGGGTAGTAAACAGCATATAATTTATACAGGCATTAGCATCTTCCAAGACTATTTTATTACAGTTAGTAGAATTTCTACCAAAATTAAAGTATTACGTGTTAAAAAAAAAAAAAGTATTTCAGCTGCTATGCCCTGACTATATAAGAAAACAATTTACATTGTTTTCTTTTTATCTTGCTTTCTTTAACTAATTCACGTAGGAATCACACACAGTTAAGTTTAAATCTCGAGCAAAAACCCCCCTGCCCTGCAGTAGGATAGGTAGTAGGTTCAGCTTATCCTTTCAGAGTCTGGTTTACTCAGGAGAATTAGTTTAAACGTAACAATTAGGATGATGATCTGCTAAATCAAAAACTAAATTAAGTGATTTTTTTTTAAATTTAAAAAGAAAAAAACATATTTTTTATGAGTTTTCGGACTGCCTGGGTAGAATATGTGATTGGTTGGCTAGATGTTCTGTTTTGCTTTTAAGCTGAAATAGTTTACATTAAGTAAGACCCTAATTTGGGGCACTGTTGTCATGGTCATAAAATAACATTTTATCTAGTCTGCTTTTCTGGCTCTGGGTGGAGGGAGGAGGGGTGAGTGTGGAGATGGGTGGTTTGTGCCACTGGTCTTCTTCACCATGAAATCCAAAATTTCTCCATATTGTAACAATTTTATCTTTATCATGAAGAAAACTGTTCTTCAAACAGCCAAGTTTATGACTATTGGATAGTACCTGTGACCCTAAATGATTATTTTAATGGTACTTAGGCTGTTTTCCATATAAATGGTAATATTAATTCATTTCCAAATCACTGTGGAGGATAAATATTTTAAGTGTGTTTTGAAAATGATAGTTGTAATGTGCATGAACGGAAAAATAAATTCAATCCTACTTCACCGTTAGAGTTTTTACAGAGATTGCTTTGCATATTTTATACCAATATAGTGGTAGAGTCTGGAAGCCACCTGGAAAGTCTAACAGAGAATACAAAGTTCTGATTAAGCAAGTATTGAAGGAGAAGTAAACAAAAGTATTCGATTTATGATATGAATCCTATGAATGTAGAACGTGTGCTTGTGGTTGATTTAATGAGAGATCTGAGAAGCCTAAATTCAAACACCCACCCATTCCCTTATAAATTTACTCTTTACAGCCTACAAAGACATTGACAAGTTTCTGACAATTTGCTCACAAATTATACACTCCTGCATTATATAACCTGTCCAGAAATAGCACACACTAATCCCTAGGGTTAAATATTTTGCTGGTACTAATGATTGGCTTGAGATTTTAGCTTTGTGGTAAGATGATCATTTTTTTCTTAAGTCCTGTGGAGGGAGGGTCTCTGATTGAGCAAGTGGACAATAGTCTATGTCATGGGATCACATTATTAGTATTTCAAATTAATTCTAATTTCAGAATCTCAAGGATTGTGTATTGTAGGAGATGAAGAGGTTTAATTTTGTTTGGTTTAGAGTTTTTCATACGTAATTATAGTGATCATTGGGACTTCTCTTTCTAGAGTCATTAGTGCAGAGATATCCTGGGAATTTTTGTCTTCTGTTAATTTATAATATGGATAGTGTATTGTTTGCAAAAATATAATACCTTTTTTTTTCATAAAAATGAGAAGTTTTCAATCCTTAAGGGCGTGGATATCTGTGAATCAAGTTTGACTTAGTCTTCATAGTTGGTGTAAGTCTGATTTTTATCTATGTGAGGAATCACATGAATTTCTTAATCTTTGAATCTAAGAGTTTTTAAAAAGAAAGTAAAATTTTTGGTAGGAAAAATACTGAAAATATGCTAAGTCAAGATTTTGTAAAAACAGGCACAGGGAATCGCTGTTATGTGCATTTCCATAAGTTTAACTTCTGATTTTTTTCCCTAATATTAATAATCCCCATTACCATTTATTAATCATACATCATGAACCTAGCACGGCTACAACCTCCAGTCACATATTACACACATATCACTACCCACCGCAGAAGTGACCAGAGGGTAACTGTATTTTCCACCTTTATTTCTTCATCCATAAGACAAGAATGTGAGTAGCTGCAAAAGCCAATGCTAACAGTTTGCTCTAATAAGCAAACAGAATGGCACTAGAAGCATGATAAGGCAACATTAAAAGGACTGTGGAGAATCCCACCACCTATCTCCATAATGACCACAAACTGCTGGGAGGCTGGTGGTTGGTTATTCTAAGGTGTCCATCTACTCTGTAACCTGCAAGCGGATAGACCCCGTGTTTCAGTCTATTTGATATATGGCAGGACTGGCTACATAATTTGCAGCTCAAAATGGAAATGCAGGCCCTGTCTTCTAAAATTAATAGGATTTTAAGAATTTATCAACAGAACAAGAAACCAAGCATGGGACCTGTGACCCTTCACAGGTCACATGGCCATGAAGCTGGCCCTGAAAAATGGATTGAATGATAAAACACCACTTGTCATTTAGGAGTTCCTTCTTGAACATAAGAGGTGTGACTATACAATACCTGCATCATATATTACATACCCACTTGTTACGTCATAATTTTATGTAAATAATACTGTCATAACAAAGCCCCCCCCCCCAATATGCCCTTCAAATGCATTCCATTCTGTGGAATGGCTCATGGTGTGGAGGACCCTCACTCCTGTCGGGCTTGCTGAGGATGTCCTCTCAGACATTACAAGAGTCCCTTCTTCAGGGACTCTTCATTTGATGCCAACTCTGAAACTTTAGTGTTCTAGAAGCTTCCATATTTGCTATCATTGGTTCTTCTCTGACTTTTTATGGTTCTATTATATGCTTCACTTACAGGGAGACAAACCAAATATAAACACAGCTTAGATGCAAAATTTAGAAAGAAGTTAAACTAATAGGAAGGATTCACCATGTACATCTAATGTGTCTCAGATCCACATGGCATGAAGCCCCATAGCCCTGTGTTACCTGGGTCATGTGGACCAGTCCAAGATCTGAGTGTGTAGATACCAGGCCTCGGTGTTTGTTTGGTTCCTTAAACTGGGGTGGATTTCAGAACCAGCTCTTATCTGTTACATTTAATACATATATACATTCTTAAGAAGTTTCATGGTAAAAGAATATGCTTTAAAAAAAATCATCAGTGGCTGTTAGGAAATTAAAGAATCATCTAAAAATTTATTCCCAGACTAAAAATCAGAGAGTTGTTGAGCAATAGTGATAATGAATTTGTTTCATATGCACAGTACTTTTTGTGACCACGGATTATAAATAAATGGAAAGTTCTGGGTTATTGGGTCAGATGATACATCTATAGAAAAATTATTATTCAGGAAGCTTAAAATCTGAGCCAATCTCTTTCCTAAAGAGCTACAGGAAATATTCTTCTCATCATAAGTGGCTTAAAATGGCTGATATTGAAATTAAATAATGTTGTCGTCCATGAAAATTTAACAGAACTGTAGGGATCTGGCTAGACAAAACTGGCCTTTACTACTTCAGAGATGTAGCATTAGCAATTCGCTGTACATGTGTTTCTCCATAATATATAGCAAAGTGCAAATCAAATCCAATGCATGAGAACTCTTTTCCAAATGTAGACAGTTTTACTTAAAGAGCTCACAAAAGTCATGGGACTGGAAATCTATTATTTTTGAATGTCCTATTTAAATTCATTTCTCTCCCAATTATTCCTTCTTGTCAAAAATATGTTTAATATTTGAGGTATTTGGAAATTACCTTTGCCACCTGGTTACATTGAAAACTTTGTGATGATTTTTACTTTGGAAAAGTGCTATTTATAGGATCAATTGTAAAGAAACAATTAGAAGTGTGAAAAATAAGTGAATAACTTTGACTACCAGACTTCTTTCTTAATAACGTGTTTCCTAAAAAAATAATGTCACCAAGCAAAACCATGAGAGGATAAGGCTGCCGTGTTTTCCTTGCTGATTAGTTGAAATATTAAGGCCTCTCTCCATCATTATAAAGATGCAAGGATGTAAGCTCACTTGTACCTATTGATATTGGGAGGAAAAATAAGAGAGGCACAGAAGTTAAAAAATAAATAAATCGAATGAATAGGAAATGATTCTGAACATAATTCATTAATGTTTTGTCATCTAATGATACACTTAATGATCAAATATTCAAGAGAGCCAATCCTCAATTTATTAAAAAAAGGAGTTACAAATAAAGAATGATTAACATCTGAAACAAAAGAAAGGAAAAAGACAGAGAGATGTGAGTCCCAGAACTCTTAGACAAAGACTATGCCCAGTAGCATTATTACTGAGATCAGCACTCATTATATTATAGAGTTAACAGAAGTATTGAAGAACAAACATGAAATACACATGCAATCATTATGACACTAAGAAGAATATGTGTTAGACACTGATCCACCAAACCAGATTAGTATGTGACTCTTTCTAATGATTTTTGTTTCCTTGATATTTCACATATTAACTATAAGCAGTGTGTAGATGGCCAAAAGAATTCAGGGAAGGGTATTAAGGAGGGCACGTTCTGCATGGAGCACTGGGTGTTATACACAAACAATGAATCATGGAACACCGCATCAAAAACTAATGATGTAATGTATGGTGATTAACATAACACAATAAAAAAAAATAAAAAAGAATTCAGGGAATGAGTTACTTAAACTGACCCTGTATTTGCTGTTCTTGTGGCAACACTGCCCGATAAGAAAAAGTGGTCAATGTTTAAAAACAAAACAAGGGGCGCCTGGGTGGCTCAGTTGGATAAGCGACTGCCTTCGGCTCAGGTCATGATCCTGGAGTCCCTGGATCGAGTCCCGCATCAGGCTCC